TCAACAATGTCTCCGTAACACAACCGTTGAGTGGGCTGGCAAATGAGTCGGCGGATTAAGTCTTTAGCCGACTCCGAAATTTGCACATCCTTAGGGAATTGAAGAGTGGTCTATGAAAAGGAGAGACAATAGAAACCACAGGAAAGCATTACCTTGAAGTTACGAATATTATCCATCATCTTGTCATCGTCCTCATCGTAAAATGGTGTGTAGCCATAGAACATTTCATAGATGAACACACCCACAGCCCAATAATCGTACTCTGGACCAACACGCAGTGCGTCCTTTGGGCTGCGCTTGCGTTGGGTAAGCAGTTCAATGTTGAGGTACTCCTTTGTACCAACCATTGTCGGGCAGACACACTGAAACAAAAGTTGGTGTCAGATGGTTCAATGATTAGTTCATTATCTTGAAAAAATGTATAGCCACGAGTTACTGAGATTTTACCGCACCGCATTAAAATTTCAGACCTACCTTCACAGAAATACTTGCGACTAAATTAAACAAGGTGGTGTTTTAGTCACAAATCTTTGCCTGTGGCAGTAAGCTTAAACTGATTGGATGCAAGGAAAGAATAATATGAACGCTGAACTTCGTTCCCAATAATCGCTACCGAAGACTTGGTCAGAAAAGAATTTAGATGGGCAGTGCTTAAGAGGAGGAATGGGGTTTAGTGACTGAAAAAAGCCGACCTGTCTATGAGAAACTAAAAAACGGAGCAGAACCACGGAGGATGAAACTAGAAAAGAAAAGAGGTCGTCTCGGAACTCTATGTGAAGACTGCACACAGCAAAAAAGGTGAGAAGGGATGTAAAAGTGGTTGAAACCTACTCTATGGTGCATAGTGTTCCGTGAAAATTTTAACTAGGGACGTCGATAGTGAAAGAATTCAAGCTTAGAAAATAAGGCACACATATAGAATTTTCACCGTAAGCAATGATCTATGCCAGCCTAGAAATGATTAAATCTACGACGAAAATTACCTTGCCATCAGCCTCCAAGCGGATTGCAGATCCAAAGTCGATTAACTTTAAGTGCCCACTTCGCTCAATTGCAAAGTTTTCGGGTTTAATATCACTGAAAGATAAAAGGGAAGTGCATGGACAGAAAATGCAAAGACAGCCTGAGTCATCACAGTCGGTGCGGGACACTTAGCATACAAGACGGACAGGATAGACTGGATCTTGAGCATAATCCCTTTTTTCAGAAGTCAGCTAGACCATCTATGAGACTTTACTAGAAATCGTGCATATGTGTATGGTTCGGAATTTTAAGGGTCGGATCTTACCAGTGAATGTAGCCCATCTGGTGAAGCGAGTGAACAGCCTCAACAACCTCAGCCGCGTAGAACTCAATCATCTCGGGGTCCAGAAGGTGTGCTGTCCTGGTAGGAAAGCAAATAATGAGGTAGTCTCAAGGTCCAGGACATGCGGGGTTCGACAACTCCGATGGGCATGCATACTTACTTGCTCAAAAAGATGTACATGTCTCCACCAGGCTCATAATCCATGACCAGGTGAAGCTGGGTTTCATCCTGAAATGCGTAATACAGATGAGGCAGCCAGGGGTTGTCGACCATGGCGG